TAAAAACAGTGTTTTGCTACAGAAATTAAGTTAATTATGTTAAATGTAGTGAAAACAGACCAACTGAATGTTTGCATCAGGAGGTTACTGTTACAGGTAAACTTTGTGTGAGCAAGCACAACCCCCCCAAAAAAAAGTCAGTGCATCACCAGGAGATAATAGGTTTCCGTTGCCTACAGCGGACTCCAGAAAAACACAAAGCACTAACTCAAGCCGTTTCTGTGCACCATACCAAGCCTTGACACACTTTCTGTGGAGATGCAGTATCAGAAAGATCCTCACTTTGACTGAAAATGACTGCAGAAGATAACAATGGCTTGTGTGCAATTGGAGCTGTTGGGTTTTCTGGGTCAACAACAGCAAAAAACCCCATGATGGGAATAACAGACAGGCAAGTTAAATTTCCAGCATGAATGGTTTCATTTTCAGTGATTGCAGTGAAGGGTGACTCTTGCCATGCATATTTATTCAGTCATTGATCAATAAAGATATAGTTTGAACTGGCAAGAGTTGTTGTCTTACAGGGTTTGCTACCCAGACTTTGCTGTGTGTTGTAGTGTTTGAGAAACCTTATGCCTTAATTGCAAGAAGTTCTGTAAAGTATTTTCTGTGTTGGTGCTAGAATGAATTGGAAAGAGTAAGTAGCATGTAAGTAGGAAAAAAAATTAGTTTTCATGACACATGAAAGCTTTCTACCTGACAGTGCAAATGTTTTTAATTCTAAAGAAAAGGAATTAGTTAGAGCTTCTGATATTTAAGGTACAATATAATGTATTTAAGGCATGATGAGTGAGAACTACTTTGTGAACTTACTGAAGAATCTTGTTTACAGTAGCATGCATAGCTTGCAAATTAGTTATACATTTTAACTAATTTGCACTGCTTTTCTCTATTTCTAGAGAGGAGTAAACTTACTTGTTAACAGAGATTATTGAGCTAGAGTGTGGTAAATACTTAACTAGGATTTATGAAACATGATAGTCTGTGAGAAGGTTTGTCAAGCTCAGACATGTAGTGATACTCCACACAGACAATGGAAAATCTACTTTTACCAGAAAGCATGTCATACATATTTAATAATATGGTTCTGACCACGTTAGTATGTGAAACAGTGAAAAACACTAGGAATAGGAAGTTGTAAAGTTACACCTAAATGGAGTGAAATGACCTAAGAATGCCAGTCCCTGTTGTTAACCTTGAGTTGTATCTGTACCTTATGTCAGAATAAAATGACTGGGTTACTGGTAACTATGCTGTCTATGCTGCAAATCTGCGGGGTAAAGGGTTTTGCTGGCGCTTTAGTGGGACATCTTCTTTCTGCCTAATTCTGCATCAGTGCCTGAAATTCCAAACAGCAAGAGAGCAAGAGTTGTGTGATTTTACATCCATAACCTCCACCTCCAAAAGTATGTGTAGCTGTGCCTCATGAAACATAACT